AACGAGCCTTATGGCTATTTATATGGGATCGGGATGCACACCACATCGATATAGCTCTTGGGCTGAAGGAGCCCCTCCGGAGTCTGTACACCCCCAGTGAGCGCAAGTACCTACTGAGTGTGAGTGTTGAGGGCTGAGAGCCGAGTGATGAGCTATTGAGAAAGATTGAGTGGCTGTTGCCCTGAGGGGCGGTATTTGCTTCCATTGCTGTTGCACATAGTTGTTATATGCCATTGTTTGAAACTTCTGAGGGATATTATATCAGGATTTTACTCGAACTTGGCATTTATAAATTGATTTGACTTAAACTGCCGAATTTGAAAACATGTCTACTTTCTTATTGAGATTAGTGAAAATGAACTATAATTGCATAGCTCGTCACTATCTTTCAGTTCCTTATTTATTATTGTTACTTACTAAGTTGGTTGTACTCACGCTATACCCTGCACTTCGTGTGCAGATCCAGGTGTTCCTGGTCATAGCAGGTGTTGATATTTGAGCAGCTGATCCCGGAGACTATCGAGCTAGCTGTATGGCATTCGCAGGCCTTGGCTCTCCTTCATTATCTTTATCGCATTTCAGTTCTTGTTCCTTAGACATTGTATTAGACTATTCCTGGTATAGATGCTTATGTACTCAATGACATCCCGATTTTGGGATAGATTGTATTGTGTAGCAGGTTTATTTCTGTTCCAAAAAGGTTTTCTTGAATATTAGTTGCTTCCGTCTATAATGTCAAATCTTTTACTGTGTTAAGATAGTTGAGTAGTGGCTTGCTTAGTACCACGATAGGCGCCATCAAGACAATTGGTTTTTGGGTCGTGACAAGTTGATATTAGAGCCTAGGTTACATAGGTCTCACGAGTCATGAGCAAGTTTAGTAGAGTCTTGCAGATCGGTACAGAGACGTTAGTACTTATCTTCGAGATGTTGCCGAACCCTTAGGAAACTTCACATTCTTGAATTCTTATCGTGTGAATCTGTTAATTTTGGTAACTAAACTTCTGTTGTTCTATTCTCTCACAGATGGTGAGGAAACGTACTACTGGCAAGGTGGACAACCAACAGTACCACCAGTCAGGGCTGCGAGAGGCCGAGATTACGGTAGAGGCCGCGATAGGGGCAGAGGTGTAGCTCGCACAACAACTAGGGCAACACCTACAGATACACCAGTTTCCCCAGTTCAGGAGCGGATTCCAGTTGTGGATGAGTCTGTGGGACTAGCTCAGGAACCACCTGTGCCCATTGGGATTCCAGGCCTTCAGGAGGCCTTAGCTCAGATTCTGACAGTTTGCACTGGCCTTGCTCAGGTGGTTTCATCTCAGGCCGCACTTGCCACTTCTCAGGCCGGGGGAGGTATTCATACCCCTGTTGCCCATACTCCAGATCAGGTAGTACATGAACTTTAGATATCGGGGGCACTACCAGCCCAACCGGTTGCAGCTGCTCAGGCCCATGTGGTCTCTGTTATGTCTGATGATGAGCGACGGGGATTAGAGAGGTTTGGGAGACTCCAACCTCTATCTTTTAGTGGTACAGAGGCGGAGGCTGCCCAGGGTTTCTTGGACAAATGTCAGAGGATTCTCTGTACAACAGGTATTCTGGAGACCAGTGGGGTCTCGTTCACTACTTTTCAGTTCTCTGGGGCTACCTTCAGTTGGTGAGAGGCTTATGATAGGCGTAGGCCGGTCGGAGCAACACCCCTTACATGGCATGAGTTCTCCGTTCTCTTCTTGGAGAAGTTCGTGCTTCAGTCCCACAGAGAGGAGCTGCGCAGGCAGTTCAAGCAGCTTCGTCAGGGTGATATGTCTGTGACGCAGTACGAGATGAGGTTTTTTGGGTTGGCTCGTCATACAGTCTGGTTGGTTCACACAGATAGGGAGAGGATCATGAGGTTCATTGATGGTCTCACATTTCAGCTACGGTTGCTGATGACTAGAGAGAGAGAGAGTGTTTGGTGCTACTTTTGATGGTTTTGTCAATATTGCCCGTCAGATAGAGATGGTTCGCAGTCAGGAGGGGGTTGAGAGGGAGGCCAAGAGGCCTCGTGGACAGGGTGGATTCAACGGTGTTCCTTCAGGGGGTCAGTTCTACCACGACAGGGGTCGTCCTTACAGACATGCTCAGACGGATCGCCCAGTTCACCGTGGTGCATCATCTGGCCATGGTTCACACAGTTATCAGCAGGGTCACTCATCTCTCAGTGCCCTTCCAGCTCAGAGTTCGTCCCGTGCTCCATCGGGTCAGAGCTCGTCTATGCCAAGTCCTTCTATCAGTTATCCGGATGCTCGGGGATCCCTTCAGTCCCCACCACCAGCATCGGGGTGTTGCTATGAGTATGGAGAGTTCGGCAATATCAGGAGATATTGTCCCCGCCTTACGGGAGGTCTAGCTCAGCAGAGGAGTTAGACTACGGCTTCAGCACCAATTACTTCACCACCCGCTCAACCAACTCGGGGTGAGGCCCAGTCAGCTAGAGGTAGCCCTAGAGGGGGAGGCCGATCAGATGGCTGTCAGGACCGATTCTATGCTCTTCCCGCTAGACCAGATGCCATTGCTTCCGATGCAGTGATCACATGTATTGTCTCAGTCTGCCACAGGGATGTCTATGTATTATTTGACCCTGGTTCCACTTATTCATACGTGTCATCATATTTTTCCTATTATCTGGATATGGCCCGTGAGTCTCTAATTTCATATGTTCATGTATCTACGCCGGTAGGAGATACTATTGTTGTGGATCGGGTATACCTGCCGTGTGTAGTGACTATTGGGGGATTGGAGACCAGAGTTGACCTCTTGTTACTTAGTATGGTAGATTTCGATGTGATCTTGGGTATGGACTGGTTGTCCCCATGTCATGTTGTTCTGTATTGCCACGCTAAGACCGTGACATTGGCGATGCCGGGGTTGTCACGGATTAAGTGGCGAGATTCTCTAGACTATGTTCCCACTAGAGTGATTTCATACTTGAAGGCTCATTGAATGGTTGAGAAGGGTTTTCTATCTTATTTGGACTTTGTGAGAGATGTTTGTGCAGAGAACCCTACTATTGATTCTGTTCCGGTGGTACGAGACTTCCCGGATGTGTTTCCTGCAGACCTGCCATGCATGCCACCTGACATGGATATTGACTTTGGCATTGACTTGGTGCCGGGCACTCAACCCATTTCTGTTCCTCCGTACTGTATGACACCAACTGAGTTGAAGGAGCTGAAAGAGCAGCTTCAGGAACTCCTTGATAATGGGTTTATTAGGCCTAGTGTGTCACCTTGGGGTGCACCTGTTCTGTTTGTGAAGAAGAAGGATGGTACTATGAGAATGTGCATTGATTATAGGCAGTTGAACAAGGTCACAATCAAGAATAAGTATCCTTTGCCGCGCATTGATGACCTATTTGACCAACTTCAGGGAGCGAGGGTGTTCTCAAAGATTGATTTGAGGTCTGGGTATCGCCAGTTGAATATTCGGGACTCGAATATTCTTAAGATAACTTTCAGGACCCGTTATGGTCATTATGAGTTCCTTGTGATGTCCTTTGGGCTGACCAACGCCCCAGCAACATTCATGCATCTGATGAACAATGTATTTTAGCCTTATCGCGACTCATTTGTTATTGTGTTCATTGACGACATCCTGGTGTACTCTCGTAGTTAGGAGGAGCACGCCCAACATTTGAGGATTGTGTTGCAGCGATTGAAGGAGGAGAAGCTTTATGCCAAGTTCTCTAAGTGCGAGTTTTGGCTTAGCTCAGTGGAATTCTTAGGACACATGGTGTCCAGTGAGGGTATTCAGGTGGATCCGAAAAAGATAGAGGCGGTTCAGAGTTGGCCCAGACTGTCCTTAACTGCGGAGATTCAGAGCTTTCTTGGTTTGCCCGGTTATAATCATCGCTTTGTGGAGGGTTTTTTGTCTATTGCATCACCCTTCACCAAATTAACCCAAAAGGGTGCTCCTTTCCAGTGGTCGGATGAGTGTGAGGAGAGCTTTCAGAAGCTCAAGACTGCCTTGACCACATCTCCAGTTCTAGTTTTACCGTCAGTTTCAGGCTCTTATACAATGTATTGTGAATCTTCTCGGATCGACACTGGGTATGTGTTGATGCAGGAGGGTAGAGTGATTGCTTATGCTTCACGCCAGTTGAAGCCTCATGAGAAGAACTGCCCTGTTCATG